ATGTCTGACCTGACCTGACCTTATCAGGTCGGGTCAAGTCAATTACCCGACCCGACCCGACCTGTTCGGAGCTCTACACAAAACACAAAACATGGATGATAATTTCGATGATGAATTTTTTGAAGTTAATAATATTACTTTCAAAGAATTATATAGGCTATATAATTTATCAGTGCATATAACATACAACCAAGCGGAAGTCCTCAAGGAACATGCATCATCATTCAACAGATTATCAAAGAGTATTGAAAAGTGTTTGACAGCATTTTCTGAAATTATGTCATCAATTATTTCTGCAACAGCATTCACAACAACAGAAACAACAGCAATAACAGCAGCAGCAGCAGCAATAGCAACGGTAACAAAAGTGGTAACAACAGCGACAGCAACAACAGCAGCAACATCAGTGGCGGCAGCAGCAACAATAGAAGCAACAACAACAGCAACAGCAACAACAATAACAATACCAACACCAATACTAATACCACCACCACCACCACCACCACCACAACCACCACCACTACCACCATCATCACAATATTTTACATCTCAAGATAAGTTGGAATATTGTCTTAGCTGTAACTCTTCAAGCAATAAATTCAAGTTCGCGATCGTAGCCACGTGATGGCAGATTAATAGCAAAAGATATTATTCCGCAGTATGAACAAAATATGTATTTTTTTAATTACAATTAATTAATATATTTACATGTCAATATCTAGTGTGAGATTGTGTTTATATGCTAATATTTCTGTTTTTCACCTATGGATCCAGATCCTATAAATGCGTAGTATCATTAGGATAGCATTGCACTATATAATTTATTCTCGAAACTTCTTGCATATACTCAAGCTTTTGCATATATTAATAATAAAAAGTTGCCCTTGTTGATCCCTGTGTCAATTATAATTTTAGGGAGCATCTGTTGATCTGATTTTCGTGATGAATCATAATAAGTAATTTCCCAAAGATTTATTCCAAAAATCGAACCTTAAACCAATTACAAGTCATATAAAAAGAAGTTGAGACAGTTAGTGAACCCTTTTATCCGCCTTGTGCAAATATAAGCAAAAAATCAAACGAAAAATCTAATAAAATTTTAAACCTACCATTATTAATATCGACATTATCATCAATTAATCAAACGAGTATATTTCGCAAAGCAATAATAAGGTATGTTGATTTTATTGCTCGACTAGCTTCTTGAAATATGTCATCACGATGCTAATCGATTTCCGCTTCTATTAGATGTTCCAAAATAAAACGGACATATGTTATATATCGGCATTTTGATCTTCGCCGAGAAAATCACTGACCATTATTAACGCGTATGAATATAATGTCTGTATTTACTTTAAAAAGGTGGAAGCCAAATTTTGGCAGTTGAAGCACTACTTAGGCTTTCGATTGAAAGACGATGAAACAATTTTGCCGTGGACGGATGTTTATAATTACTGGCAAGCATCACTGGATTGTATAATAAAAAATCATTTTAAAAAGTTTCCAACCTCTATAGTTGTGTTCTGCGGAGAGTTGCTTCATATCTGTGAAACTTTTAAGGGGACCGCTGTGCAGAAAAGTTGTGAGACGAAGTATAATGAATTTTACCAACTTAATCTTGATAAGCACATCGAAAAGAATATTGTTGAAAGAATTCGGTTGCTTGATTCTACAATATTTTCAGAACGTAATTACTCAGAATTCTTACGAGCAACGTGCCAAAAATGAATAGGGGAAGAAGTTTCGTCATCTGATGAAAAACGAATTCGTCGCGAAGAACCTGAATTGGTTTGTACTTAAATCCGTATTTTTTTTTATTTTCGTTAAGTGGGCGTCCACTTATGAAGTGCAGACTGTTACTATTAATTTTCGGGATGCTTGTTTCTCAAAGTGGATAGTTAGATGATTCTCTAGGCATCTTAGGCATCTTTAAAACCAGTTTGAGATATGTAACTTTTATGCTCTGGAATCTGGAAAGTTGTGACGAGCTTTTTTCAAAGAGTCTAGGGAGGCTGAAATGTGATCTAATATGAAAAAATCCCGAATTTTATTAGTAACTTACTGCACTTCACTTTCGGACGTCCACTTAAACTTTTTCGCTGTAAGATCTGCAGTATTTTTTTTTATTTTATAAATAACTGCTATCTTTTGAACTTGAATAGAGTCGAGAGGGGGGCAAGCAGGAAGAATCGTAAGAGAAGATCGAAAATGATGAGATTCTCAACTTTCCGCGTATTGTGACTCCTCCTCATATTGCTACTCCAAATTCTCCGACACCTCAATTTACACAGGCTCAACCAAATGTTCTTGAATATGATAATGACGTTGATGAAACAGAGGAACTTCTACCTCTCGATGTTCGTTATCTTTGATTATAAACTCTGTGTAAATATTTTAGCTATCATCTTATTGAAATTTTTTTTAGCACATTCAAGATAATTGGATAATAAAAAAATAGCTAAAGTTAAAAAGGGAATTGCGAGATACAACATAATTTTTTTACCGGAATGTAACAGAAATGATCAATTAAGGTCCAAGTTTACTGATGACGAATGGAAAGGTTTTGAGGAATTCTTTTTTAAAGTAATGGATTTTTTATATTAATTATTATGTATGTAATATTTGTGATATCTAATGTTATGTTTCGTGCATTGTAGAAAGAGGAAGAAATCGCAAAAAAGGTCATCCCATCACTTAGTAAAGTGGAAACTATTCTATATAAGTACCAGGAAGCCATAATAAATGCAAGTGAGGACGAATACATTGATTTAGATAGAATTGATGTTATTTACGGTTATCCGAACGGATATAAATTTAGAAGAAATTGGCTTGAAAGATGGGTAGATAACGTCTACCAAAAATTGTGAGTTCTTGTTATTTCTTGTCACAATTATAGGATATTATATTAATGTATTTTAACTTCTTGCTTGAAAGTCTGACATGCTTTCACATATCTAAAAATGTTCTTAACGACAGATCAACAAGTGAGTACCAGTATAGAAGTTAGTTCGTAAATACTTATGCGAGGATATTTTTTTAGATTTGGCAACAATAAAAATGAAAACGTACATATTAAATATATTTTGTTTTCAAACCTGAATGTTAGGTATGCATAGTGTTCCGCAAAAAATCCGATTCGATCTGAATCCGATCCGGATCTGACGGATCGGATCAAATCGGATTTATCAGATTCGAATCAAATTCAGATCTGAATTTGGGTTTGATTCGATCCGTCAGATCCGGATCGGATTCGAATTCGGATTTGATTCAATCCGACGGATTCAGATTT